GGGGAGAGGCAGTTCAAACTGACAAGGAATACTTTGTAGATGATGAGGGCCTCTGTTTTCCCTTCCTTGCAGTCTGACTTGTGCTGATTCAATCAAACACTCTGCCTCTGCCCAGTCTCCTAAAAGACAGCCTAACTGCCCACCCGGGGAAAGCCAAATGAATGAAAAATGTCCACTCTCTAGACTATGACATACAGATGCGTAAAGAGCTGACGGCCGCTCCCTCAGGACCTCCATCTTTGGCATACATTGTGCCAAGCGGTGAATTGGGCCCATAACCGAATAGGGAGAGAAGCTGGTCAGATTGCCCAGAGCTCTTAATGACCAAAGAAGCTTCTCCCTGAGACAGAGGCCCATCTCCTTAGTATCGGTATTCTTTTGGTGATGGTGTTAATCTTTGGAGTCATGGCATATCACCACCACCTCCCCAAAATTAGAGTTGCAAGTCATGCAAGAGATAAAAGAGGTCCATGGTGGACTGGGAGCCTATCACCTCAGAAGAACTGTGCAAGGGTAGCCTCAAGAATATCTGAGACATCTGGCCACAGAGGAGGTGGGCTGGCCTTGTAGCAGGAGCAGGGACTGAGTGAGGTATGCCTGTGGGCTCCATTACTATCCACACACTGTCAGGAGGCCTAGAGGAAGGCCCTCAGGATGTTGGGTGGGGGATTGATGAGAAGATCTGGACTAGAGTGGCACGGGATAAGAAGGGGTGGGTGGGTCTTTATCTGCACCACTGGAGGGAGTATGCCCACTACTGGACCCTACCTCTCGAACACAGCAGGTACTTAACTGTTTGCTGAGTGTTGAATGAGGGCACCATAAGGATTAGTGGAAGGAGCTGAGAATATTTGGCCTGGAGAAGAAAAGACTGAGGGAACTCAAGAGCTCAAAGGAAGAGCAATCAGGCTTGTTGGGCAAGACAGAACAATGGCTCCAAGTGGCAAAATTTCATCTGAATGCTGGGATGAAGCCCCTGACAACAAGAGCTGTCCCACAGGGGCTGTCGCTGGAGGCCAGTGGCTACTTTCCCCACCATCGCTGGTGATCTGGGGGTTGGGCCTGGATGACCCCCACTGGGGACACTGTAGAAGGATTGCTGACCAGGTTGAGACTAGGCCAAATGGCCCCTGAGGTCATTTCCAGCTCTGCCCTTCTCAGAAATAGTGTTGACACCCACCTTGCTCTGCCCTTTCCTTCCCAGGGCAGCAGACAGATGATGGAGGTGAATGAACAGGGTCTGAACATTAGATGGAGCCAACGAGAACAGTCAACCTAGCATTAATGGTAGTGATGAGGACCTGGAGAGGACTGTTTCCATGCACCTTCCCTCCACATGATCTCCCAGGGCCATGGCAGCAGCAAAGGAATGGAGGACCTGAAAGGCTTAGCTACAAACAGCCCTGCCTTGAGAATGGAACCCATCCAACAAGACCTGCCCAAGGTCACACAGCTATTAAATGTCAAGAGCCAGGACTTGAACCGAGTTCTCCAGATTCCTCGTCTGTCGCTTTTCCCATTGTCTCCTGTTCCCTCCCAACTTGTGAGTTTCCTTCAGAACTGAATGACTGAGGCCTGGCCTAAAGAATAAGGTAAATAATCTGGGACCTTTGGAATAATTCTGTAGAAAGAAAAGGAGAGAAGCTTTATGTCAGGGACCCTTACCTGCTTTTCTCCCATCTCAGTATCATATTTCTGGATCCAGTTCTCTATTTCTGTCTCCAGTTTATATTTCTTCTGAAAAACAGAAGAAAAAAAAGCCAGAAAGAAATGATTTCACAGAGCCCTGAGACCTGGCTCTTCATTCACTGGATCAGGAGCCCTGGTTGCATTCACTGGGCACCTAGTAGAGTACAAAGCCTAAGTGCTTCTCTCAATTTGCCTCCTTAGACGGGCTGCCTTCTGTCTCCCTGGGCCTTAGTTTTACTTTTCTAAGAAATTATCTTCCTCGTTCTTCATAGGCGTTCTGCGAAGATAAACATGTCACCTTTCACGAGTCTCCAAGTCCTAGACAGGTGCCGCGTTAAAAAGAAGTCTCCATTAAATGGGCCGAGACAAAAATCTGGGTTCTGATATCTGATAAAGTCTGAAAGCCTGCTGTGGAGCCTCAAATTATGGGCATGTGGTCACGGAAGTAACTCTGCCAAAGGGAGTGCCACAGGAAAAAACGGGCTTTGTAGCCACAGGAGGGAAGAAAGACCCATAAGTTCAGCAGAGTTCGTGGGCCACAACAGGCCAACAGGGTGTGTCGGTGCCACGCTGTGGAGGGCCTGTGTCTTGTCTGTCACGGTCCTCCCTCCCTAATCCTTGGTACAGTCAGAGCCCTGCAGCTATTTCCTACCAGAGCTAAGTTCTTCCCAGAGATGATGGGGCAGCCCCAACCTGTGGAAATGCCCCACCTGGGTGGGAGTTGCTCCCATGTGGCGATTGCCAGCGCTGTGTGTGTGTGTGTCTGGAGGTGCGGGGGGGGGGGGGGGGTGCTGCCGTCCTCCCTCCTCACGCCTCTACCTTTCTGAGTGCCTGTTCGCTGTCCCGGTTCTCCTCGACGACGTTGTGGTACTGGGTCCTGAGCCTGAGGATGTCCTGCTGGATCCTGGCGATCCGGCCCTGGGAGGCCTGCAGCTCAGCTTTCTGCTGCTTCTCCGCCTCCTGCTTGGTGCGCAGCAGGTGATTCTCTGAGAATTTGAGCACCTGGTGCAGGTGGCTTTTCAGTTCCTGGATCACAGAGTTCTCCTTCTCCATCTGGACCAAGGGAAAGGAGAGAAGGCGCCATCAGGCAAGGGCGGTGACCCTGACAAGGCGGTCTGGAAATCAGCCCCTCCACGAGGGAGGCCGGAAGACTCCCCATTAAAAGCCACCGGGCAGAGGCGTTTGATCAAAGGCGAACGAAACAGGAAGAAATTGAATGAATTAAATTCTACCATACCTTCTCGTAAGAGCTCTGCGCTCTTGCCCTCACCGTCCATCCATTGCAAACCGGGAGCTATCATTAAATTTAGGGAATTTTGAACATTGTTCAGCATCTTATCAATGCTTATCATTTAGAATTAAAATACCGGTCTGAATAGAGCAGATGCTGTGGCTGGTTGGAGCCGCCAGCCTTGTACTAAGAGGCGAATCCGACCCGTGAGCCTCATCCCGGCACCATCAGCAACCATCCCTGATTATGTCTCTGGAGGGTTTTACATCTGCAAAGTGCGTTCTGGAGGGGCGCAGGAAGCGTGGCCAGGGGTCACGCCCACAGGCGCTCAGGCCGCATCACACCTACCTCGGAATCCCTGGCTTTGAGGGTGGCGCCCAGCTCTGCCTCGAGATCCTGGATCAACTGCTTGTTCTTCTTTTCCTGGAGGTTGATTTCTTCCAGGAACTCGGCCTTTTCCTTCTCCTCCATGGGGCTGGTGAGGAGCTTCTCGAACACAAAGCCCCTGAATTCAATCAGACCTTGGAGAAAAATGTTGGCCTCTTCGCTTCTCCCCACGACCTGGGTGCAAAGGACTTCCCCGGCCGGGAGGTTGCGCAGGAAGATTCTCAGCGTGTTGCGGGCGGAGCCTTTCACCTCCTCTTTGAGGAGTGTGAGGTTGCGCTTGTGCTCTTCCAAGAGGAGCTGCTGACCATGGTCCCCCGATTCTGCCAGCTGCTCCTGCTCTTCTCTCACCAGGTTATCCAGCTCCAGGAGGGTGTGGCAGAAATCCTCGTGGTCCCGGACAGCTTTGATGACGTCATCTTCGCACAGCCCCTCCAAACTCTCCAGGTTGCAAGCAGCGGCCGACAGCAGGGTGACCATCTCCACCTTTCGGATGGTTTCATCCAGGACGAAGATGATCTTCTTGGCCTCGATGGTGGTGAGTTTGGTCCGAGCAGGGTCCATCTGGTTGGTAGCCGTGCATGATAGCAAGGCCTTTTTGGAAGCGGGGCCCATGGCCAGCCTCAGCCTGTTACTGGTGCTTATCTCAGAGCCCTGGTAGAGGGGGGCCACAATCACTTCCATAGCCATGCTGGACGCAGGGACCTTTTCCTATAACTGATCTTGGCTTCAGGAGCACCTGGGTCTCATGCTTTACTTGAAGGCTTTGCAGGTTAGACAGAGTCTCCACTCCAACTCCATGGACTCTGAAAATAGGAAGAAGGAATGTCAGCAGAGAGATATCCTAAAGGTTTGGCCAGTGTGGTGACAACTATAAGCCATGACCCAAGACTCGGGGTTCTTCTGCCATGTGCAGATCTTACTCTTGAGTCTTTAAGGGAAAGCACTGGTTGGCACTGCCAGAGCCTCCAGAGGGCTGGGGAGCTGCTGCTGCCCAGTGTTGGGTACACCTTGGAAGCTGGAATGGAAGGGCCTGGCCTGTTTCCCTTGATTTTAATAAAAAGATTATCTGTGTGATGGATGACTTTGAAGTAATTTTTAATATTGTTTTGGAAAGGCTATGGTAGCCATCAGAAGTCAACAGCTTATGATTAATTAAAAGGCATCTGAATTGTTACCTACATATAAATAGGTGCGTGGGCAGCTATGTGGTGCAGTGGATAGAGTCCCAGGCCTGAAGTCAGGAAGACCTGAGTTCAACTCCAGCCTCAGACACTTACTAGCTGGGTGACTCTGGGCAAGTCACTTAATCCTGTTTGCCTCATCTGTCAAATGAGCTGGAAAAGGAAACAGCAAACCACTCTAGTTTCTTTGCCAAGAAAACCCCAAATGGGGTCACGAGGAGTTGGACCTGACTGAAAACAACTGAACAGTATGTGTATATGTGTGTATATACATATACATGTATACACATATACATACATACAAGCTACATAGAGACATACATGTAGGCATTTGAATTTTTACCTGTACATATAGACTCTTACATACATAAATATGTATATAGGTGTATGTCTCTCTTTAAAGAAATGGGCATACAAAAATTGTAACTTACAAAAAAAAAAATGAGGTGATGATACCTGATGTTTCCAAAACATTCCTTGCTTTAAGAAAGGAATCAAGGCAGAATACCTGCAAATAGCAAATTCTCTCAAGACGATAGAATTTACCAAACATTTAATTTATACATCACTTTTGGGGAACTCACCGGGCACTGTAATGTTAACTCCTTATTTTCTTCCTTCTTTCAATCAACAAGTATTCATTGAACCTCTGCTGTATGCCTAGCGCTATGTTGGGTGCTAGTGTGGAATACAAAAGGAAAAAAAACCCAACCCAAACCAGGCCAGAGAGCTCCAAGACTGAGGCTGGAGGTGGGGAGCTGATGAAGTGGACAGGGGCAGTACATGCATTAGGTGCTGCAGGCGAGATGAATGTGGAAAGGAGCGGCGAGGGAAGGCTTTACGGAGGACATGGAAGCTTGGTGGGTAAACAGGATTTTGTTCATCCTCGGCCATGTCCAAGGTCAAAGCAATGATGAGGCAAGGAAGTCACAGATGGAGCTGGAAGGGACCTCAGGGGCTGTCCACCCCAGAAATCTGCATTTTATACGTGAGGACATTGTGAGGCCCAAGGAAGCGACGTGGCTCATCTACAATCACAAAAGGTATTAAATGACAAAGACACGACTTGAACCCGGGTCCTCTGGCTCAAGAGGGCACCCTTGCCACATACTTAAACAAAATAACAAAACATATGGTGTCCCCTCAAGGGTCTTTATTGCCTAGAACAGTAGAATTGGCAGAAACCTTAGAGCAGGGGGTCAAATTCAAATAGAAGCAGGGCCACTAAACTCTACCTAAGGATCCCTGCAGGCACATATTGACTTAGAAAACTACATATTAACATTATCCATGTTTTACTGTATTTTTATTTATTTTGTTAAATATTTCCCGATTACATTTTAATCTGGTTTAGGACATACCTGGGAGTTTTGTGGGCTTCAAGTGGCCTGCTTATGTTTGATATCTCTGCCTTTAGAACAGGGAATGTCAAAGCTGGGACAGTGTTTAGAAATTGTCTAATCCAACTTTGTTTATCAGATGAGGAAAATGAGGCTCAGAGGTGGTAAGCTTTCATGGCAAGTTGGCGGCAAGGCCAGGACTCTTGGCTTCTAGCATTCAATGTCATTCCAGGTCTTTCCCTGAAGTTTCCTACAAACTCAGTCCTCTCACCCCAGGGAAGCCCAGAAGTCAACAGTCCTATGTTGTAATTCTATTTCAGCTGATGAATGTATAAGCAAATTTGTAGATTGTGCTTCCTTCGATTGGTCTATTTTCAACCTGGTATGTAATTTGTTTCTTGAACTAAGGGCAGAACATATATGGGGCGTCTGGAGAACAGTGAAGAGTGCCTGAATCAAAGGATTCGTGTAGGGGATGAAAGCCATTACATACGATGGAAGAAATCTTTTTCATCTTGCCTCTAACCAGAATTGTGATTTCATCCCTCTCTAGGCTGCACAGCCCAGGACTCCACAGGACTTTTTCTTCCATTCATCCGGGAAGCTCATGGCACCCCAGGGCTACTTCTCACACTGGAAGAACCCTTCACCCCTCACGTTCTGGTTGGCTGGTCCCTCCCAGGCCTTCCGATTTAAGGGGGAGGGCCAAGCCAAAGATGCATTCATCCTTCTCCTGGCTGTCCTGCTGACTCAGCTCCATCTCAACCTTCTTTACCAGGCCCTAGGCTAGGTTCCTTCTATAACCCCACCCCCCACCCCAGCTCCCTCATCCCCTGTTAGAATGGAAGCTCCTTGAAGGGAGGGAATATTTGTCTTTCTCCTTCTATCTATATTCCCAGAGTTTAGCCCAGAGCCTGATTTATAGGAAGGCTTAATAAATGCCTAACTGACTGACTGATTTTCTTTATGGGCTAGCAGAAGCCTAAGTTAATTGGTAATATTAGTCCACTTCTGACCAAGGAGGGAATTATTTAGTGGAGACAAGGACATAGCACACAAGAGTAGAAAGAAAACTAGCTCTGGAGTCAAAAGCTTTGGGTTCAAATTATGCCTCTGAGGCTTATTACCTGAGTGACCTTGGGCAAGTCACTTCATCTGGCTAGGCCTCAGTTTCCTCACTGGTAAGATGAGAGGGTTGGACTGGATGACCCCAAAGATCCTTTGATCTTGTTTGGAACACAGAAAAGGGTGGTAAAAACAAGGATGCTCCTAGATTAAAGTCACCATATACATGTTTGAAATCAGGGTTAACGGAAAATTAAGGTTAAAGAAAGAACAGAAGTTTTACAGACACATGTTCCGTGCTTTACAATCATTTATATTTTCGTTTTACCGTGCATTCTCATTTTTCCCATTTTCTTTTCCTAGGCTCACCTTTTGAATGCTTGTCAAAGGAAGTTAAAATACACATTTAAATATATACCCCAGAAAGATAGTGTCCTGCTATAGAAAGGGAAAAAAAATTAAATTGAAAATTAAATATCAGCATCTTGGTCAGTATCCAACACACAGGGTGCTAGGCATAGAAACCATATCTTCTGATGGCCATGTCCTGGACACTCGCAGTCAGTCATAAAAATGCCATGGCTAGAAGAGTATCTTAGAATGTGGTATCCTATGTTCTTGGAATTCTGTGTTCTACTCAAAATCTTTTTTAAAATGAAGGTTAAAATTTGTCTTTACATGTCATTGGAGGGCAGCTAGGTGGTGCAGTGGACAGAGCTCCAGCTTTGGAGTCAGGAGGACCTGAATTCAAATCCAGCCTCAGACACTTGACACTTACTAGCTGTATGACCCTGGGCAAGTCACTTAACCCCAATTGCCTCACCAAAAAAATAAAATAGTAAAATAAAATAAAATAAAATAATACATGTAACTGGAAAACACAAAATACTATTTAAAAAGAATTCTATGTCCTAGAACCATAGAACACAGAATCACAAAGAATAATACGGATAATCTTTAGAGCAGAGAACATGAGAGTTGGAAGAACCTTAGAACACAGAATGTCCGAGACAGGCGAGTAGAGATAAAATAAATATATTTATTTTATAAATATATAAATAAAGATGCCAGAGCTGGAACAAATCTTAGAATGTGGATTGTCAGGGATAGAAGGGTACTTTAGATCATAAAAAGTCAGAGCTGGGAAGGTCTCTGTAGACCATCTGGTCTCATCTGTCTGTTGCATAAAGAACAAAATCTGAAACTGCATAAAAGAAGCGATCAGCCCAACATCACACAGAGAGTTGGTGTCAGACACAAGACGAGGACCCAGGTCCACTGATCCCCAGTCCAAGGCTCTTCCTGTGATGCCCTTCCTGTTCTCTCTTTTCTTATAGACAGTCAACAGGGCAAGGACCCAAAGCCAGAACTGCAAGTCTATAGCATTGTATGTGAAGACGATATACTCATATAAGTTCATCCAGGGACCAGAGAGGGTGAATATAGTGGAGGAGGGCATCTGGTCAAGATCAGAAGAGGCGGAATCAGAAGTGATATTATCTTTTTTTTTTTTCATTTTTAAAATTTTTTTTGGCTAGGCAATGGAGTTAAGTGACTTGCCCAGGGTCACACAGCTATAAGTGTCAAGTGTTTGGTCTGAGGCCGGATTTGAACTCAGGTCCTCCTGAATTCAGGGCCGGTGCTCTATCCACTGTGCCACGTAGCTGCCCCCAGAAGTGATATTATCATCAGAGGATGCTTAGACACCACCTGGCCAGAAAGTAGAAACAGATGAGGAGTGTGGGAAACACTTCCCATGCCTGGCTCACAGGCATGACAGGGGAGTGATGTGAGGCTTCAATTATCCACAAATCTCCTGGAGTGTCTAACCACTGAAAGCTGGACACCTAAACATCTGACCTGCATTTGTGATCATTTCATCAGCCGAAAGAGGCTAGAGCAGCGAACAAAGGAAAATTCTATTCTAGAGCTGGTTTTCACCAACATGGATGTACGTGATGGGCGCCTTGGGTGGAAGGGGCCACTCCACCTTATAAGTTTATAACACAGTAGAAAAGGAAAGCAGAAAGAAAAAAGGATTAGTCTAACAGATTCAGGGGGAAAGGCAGATTTTAAAGGGTTCAGAGGACAGATCTAAAATTCTAGCTGACAACTAAGAAATAGGTGACTTGTTTAAATCTTACGTGGCTTCTGTTTTCTCTGCCAAGGGCAATGATCTTTGATCTGGAAAGGGCAGAAGAAAAATTGCAAATAGGGCGTTGAAATCCAAGATAAATAGAGGGATAGTGAGAGTATACCTAGTTGTCCCCCATGTCCCCAAGTCATCTGGCCAAAGGAACTATGTCCTTGGGTACCTGAAGCACTAGTGTCTACGACTGTTGGGTGACTGGTAGTAATCTTGGAAAGTTCTTGGAGAACAGGGGACGTCCTGAAGGTTTAGAGTTGGGAAAAATGCCACCCAAAGTTTTCTGAAAGGGAAGAGAATGGACTTTGCAAAGTGCATGCCAGTAGTTTGACTTTGATTTCCCCACAAAATTCTAGGACTTATTATTAAGGGGATGGTTAATAAATACCTGGGGGCAGCTAGGTGGCACAGTGAATAGAGTGCTGGGCCTGAAGTCAGCAAGACTCATCTTTCTGAGTTCAAATTTAGCCTCAGATACTTGCTAGCTGTGTGACCCTGGGCAAGTCGCTTTACCCTGTTTGCCTTAGTTTCCTCATCTATAAAATGAGCTGGAGAAAGAAATGGCAAACCACTCCAGGATCTTTGCCATGAAAACACCAAATGGGTTCACAAAAAGTCAAATATGGTTGAAACGACCAAACAACAACTAATAAATACCTAGAAAAAGAAAAGCAGTAACCATGAAGAGCCAGTATGGATTCATCAAGACCAGTTAATGTTGGATTGATTTTTAAAAAATTATGGCATTATTAGCCCGGTAATTTAGTCGACAGAGATTTTAACAAAGCACTTAATTAAAGTCATTCTATTCTTGTGGAAAAGATGGAGAGATGCAGCTAGATGACAGAACAATTAAGTGCCTTCAAAATAAGTTAACTAGGTTTCAATGGTTCAATGGCAATCTTAAAGGAGGTCTCTAGTAGAGTACTATAGGGATCAGTGCTTAGCCCTGTGTTGTTTAACAGTGTTATCAGTAATCGCAGCAAAGGCATATGGATGGCACACTTTTCTAATTTATAGATGATATGAAGCTAGGAGAGACAGCTAATGCTCTAAATGAGGTCAACGTTTAAAAAGATCTTAAAAGGCCAGGTTGTTTGGCTGAATCAAAAAGATGAAATTCAACAGGAATAAAGACTTACACTTGGATTAAAAAATAATCTTCAGAAGTACAATATGGTGGCAATAATATATCTAACTAGCAGTTTATTTTTAAAGGCTCTGGGGTTCTTAGTGTCTTCAACGTACAACATGAGGCAAGAGGATGATGTGAGGGAGTGTGCTGGTGAATGTTTAACAACTGGGATCCGAAATGGGTGGGGGGAGTATGCACACATATTTTTAAGATTAATATACATTACTCACACTTCTTAAGTCTAGACAATCAACAAAATCAAGTCAGGCCCTGGTTTGCATCAATTGCCTGATTTCTGAGGTGTAAATGCTCACATTGAAAACTCAGCTGGTTATAACTGGTTCTAGCACACTCTTGAATATGGCAGCCAAAAAAGCTAACTTGGTTTCAGGCTGTGTTAAGAGAGGTTTGACTTCAAGGAATAAGGAGGTGATAGTGCCTCTTTAATTTCCTCTAGTCCTTAGCATGGGATTTTAAGACAGACATTAATAAGTTGTAGAGTGTTCAGGGGCAGCTAGGTGGCGCCATACTACACAGAGTGCAGAGCCTAGAGTCGGGAAGACTCTTCCTGAGTTCAAATCCAGTCTAAGATACTTGATAGCTGTGTGACCCTGGGCAAGTCACTTCATCTGTTTGCCTCAATTTCCTCATCTGTAAAATGAGCTGGAGAAGGAAATGGCTAACCACTCCAGTATCTCTGCCAAGACAACTCCAGTGGGGTCATGGAGAGGGGACACGACTGAAACAACTGAATGTGAACACGTGAACAAGAGTGTTCAGAGAAGGGCAACCTGGAGAGTGAAAGACTTGAAGATCACGCCATATAGGGATTGGTTGAAGGAACTGGGAGTATTTAGCCTAGATAAGAGATCACTGGGGTGGAGGGGGGGGAAGGTAGCAGTTTTCAGTGATTTGAAGAGTTACTAGATTTGTTTCTGCTTGTTCCTGGAGGACAGAGCTAGGAGCAGTGGATGTGGGCTGAAATTAGGTTCCAGATCAGGAGAAATCTTCCTAACAATGAAAGGTCTCCTAAAATGCAATGGGCTGCCTCAAGAGATGGTGGGCACCCCCTCACCGGAGGTCTTGAAGCAAAGGCTGGATGACCCCTTGTTAGTCATGGGTAGAGAGGATTTTTGTTCAACTATGGGCCCTCTGGTTCCCTCCAGTCTCAAGACTGCGATCCTGACCTCAGAGTTTGCTCCAAGTTCACAGCTCGAAGGACCTAGTCTAATATCATCATTGCAGAGAGGTTGAAATTGGAGGCCTACGGAAACTCAAGTGCCTAACCCCAGATCACACATCATTAGGGCCAGGGCCAGGGTTTGCTGACATTCAGACCAAGGCTCCTTTCCACTCCAACCTTATTTCTCTCAGTTTCCTCTCATCAGGCTCTTCATTCTGTCTCAAAGACATCCCTCCTGATACCCCTTAATTCTAGTGCCTTCTATTAGTTAATGATCTCCAATTTGTCCTATATATATATTATCTGAACATAGTTATTTGTATTGTCTCCCCTATTAGATTGTAAGCTCCCCGAGAGCACAGACCCTATTTTGCCTTTCTTCATAATCTCTAACTTGGCACATTATTATTGTTGTTCAGTCATTCAGTTGTGGCCAACTCTTCGTGACCTCATGGAGCATGCTATTCATGGGGTTTTCTTGGCAAAGATTTTGGAGAAGTTCTACCATTTCCTTCTCCAGTGAATTAAGACAACCAGAGGTTAAGTGACTCGTCCAGGGTCACGCTGCTAGTAAGTGTCTGAGGCCAGATTTGAACTCAAGTCCTCCTGACTCCAGGCCCAGTAATCTATCTACTGAGCCATCTAACTTGGTACATAGTAAGTGCTTAATGAATATTTACTGATGGACAGACTGATCTCAGGGCAAGATCCAGTAGGTAGTGTTGGAGCCTACATCATTGCAAAGCTCTCAAATAGAAATCAAATTCAATGGATGGTTAGAGCATATTCATGGGGCTGGGAGCCAGCAGACTCCTAGATCAGTCTCTGCTTTGCCTTTTAACTGGCCCTGTGAGCCTGGACCTCTTTGTGCCTCAGTTTCCCCTTCTATATAGTGGAGTTGGGCTAGATGGCCTCTAAGACCCCTTCTAGCTCATATATTCATATATGATCCTGGGTTCACATCCTGGCTCTGTCTGTTTGGGTCTCAATTTCTTTACCTGTAAAATCAGGGGGTTGGATTAGATGGCCCCTGGGGTCCCTTCCAGATGCGGACTCTATGATTCAATGACCAAGGAAGTGAAATGATAAGAAAAGCTCATTAACCGGGACCCTCCCAGTCCTCTGGGGGACCCTGGGGCAGCTGCTCCTGCCTGGAGGCAGGGGGATGGACTATGTGACCTTTAGTAGAAAGAAAGTTCCGCCCATGTCCATTTTATCTTCCAAAGAGTAGAATTTCTTCTCTGTTACCTTGTCCTCTCCACCACGAGCCACGACCCCTAATCATCCCTGCACTTACCGGCCCTCGCAGCTCAGGGCTTCCCTCCCCTTCAACCACTCCTTCCTCAGTCTCCTGCTTGGCGGCGTTGCTAGGCTACGGATAAACAACTAAACCAAGACCAACCACATCCGGGGCGGGAATTCCATAGCTTCAGATTGATTTTACCAGACGCCACTCAACGTCCAGCATTTTCCAGTTAGCCACGCCCCTTTACCCTAGGCTCGAGCCAATAGAGAGCTCCGTGAGTTCGACGGTTCCGAGACCCCGACTCCCGACAGCCAATAGAAAGAGCCGAGACGGATGCACCTTAGGCTGGTTAGAGAACACACGTGGAGAGAGCGGGAGGCGGGGAAGGGGAGGAGACTTCCAAGGAGGAGCATGCTAGAGGCGGGGGAAAGAGCAAAGAATTTCCAATGAGAACCCCACCCCCACAAGGCCTCCGGAAGAACTAATGAAAGGCGAGGGGAAGCCACCCCTTGAGGTTGCAAAGGGCTGGGAAAATGGAAGGGCGTTTCTTACAGCCAATCAAAGGATAGGCCACCCCCCCCCCCGAAGGGTAGCCGACCCAACCAATAAAATTTGGAGCTTTAGATATCATTTCCCCCTCGAGGATGCAGAGAGCGGGCAAAAGAGAAAAGCCCAATCAGAGCACCGCACACCGGGAAGGGGGCGGAGGCTTATTTTGTTCCGCGGAGGACGGAAGGAAAGGGAAGCAGAGGGGGGTGAAGTGGGCGGAGAAAGGGGAAGGGCGTCTCATCCGACCAATCAGAGAGCGGCGGTGTTCGCCGGTACAGTCAATAGGCCTCCGGAAAGGGGGCGGGGCTACGACAGGGTCGGGACTGGTTGGGGGGAGGTGGAGTAGCGGACTGATGATCATAGGCTCCGTGGCGGCTGCGGCGTTCCCTTTCTCTGGGGCGGCGAGTTCGGGTCGTGCCGCCGGCCCGCGACCCTCGAGGCGGCGCCTCGCGGGAGGTTCGGTTCGGAGCCCGGTTCGCGGTAGCTGCTCGCGAGGGCGTCTCCTGTAAGGACCCAGGGAGAGGTCGGGGGTCGGAGGTCAAAGGGCACGGGAGAGGGGGAGGTGCACCCACGTAAAGGGGAGGCCAGACAGGCTGAGTCCATGGGGGCCAAGGATGACCCTGGGCTCCTCACCCCTCCTCCATCCTTTCATCCCTTCCCAAGAACCTAGATCTAGAGCAGGAAGGGTCCCCAGGCCAGATGGTCCAGTGACCCCCCATCATACAGATAGGGAAACTGAGGCTGAAGGAAAATGAAGTGATTTCTCTAGGATCACCCAGCCTCTGAATAGAACAGGAAGAATTCGAACCCAGGACTTTTGGTTCCAAACAACTCTCTTTCTCCTATTCACACCTCTTTTCTCTTTGTCTCTCTCTTCATCCCACCCCATCCCTCTTCTCCTTTTCTTTCTTTCCCATGCTCTTCTCTCTCCTTCACTTGTCTAGGACACAAACACAATGAATGCGCCTTAGCATTTTTTTGAGAGGGGTGGCTCCCAGATCTACCCCTTGCTCTGGGGAGAAGTGGTACCCTCTCCTTGTGACCACTTAGGAGGCTTTGCCTGTAACAGGAGGATTTTAAATAGCCAGGCTGTTTGGAATTTCCCGAAGCTGAGTTTCCTCTCCCTTCGGGCATCTGCTCAGCGGCTCACCTAGTCTAACCCACCAGCAGCCCCCCACCCCCCAGCCAGTTGATGTAACCCCACAGATATGGGAGCGGACACAGCCTCTTCCTCTTTCCCCAACACACACTCAGAGGGAACATAGGTTTTCAACTGGAAGATACTTTAAAGGGTATCTAGTTCATTTTACAGGTGGGGAAACCGAGGTGAAGTGGCTTGCCCAGAGTCACAGGGGCAGGAAGTATTCAAACTAGATTTCAAACCTGGCTTTCTGACTCCAAATCTGGAAGCACAGAAACATCTAGGCCTGATTTTGGAGAGCTTGCCTTCAAGACCCCATCTTGGGTCTGAGAGAGCAAGAGGTCAGTCAGTGGCTCTGACCTCCAAGAAACCTTCCTTTTTAGCTTTGCTGAATAGGCTTGGTAAATCTTCCCACCCTTAAAATAAACAATAACAGTGTAATAAAGTCAGTGTCACATTCTCTTGTGGGGGTGTCCTTCACCTCCCATCTAATCTGATCTGAAAGGCAGTTGAGCCTGGCTTTGCTCACCTTTGAATACTCAGACTCCATCCCCAAGATGGTGGGTGGCAATGTAGCCCAGATGGGCAGTTATGCCATTGTGTGCAACAAATTTGCATCCTGAGAAATTGCTCCGCTCTCCTGCTGCTTCTTGTAGCTCCCCTGGTTTTGATTTGGGGGTAGGTGGATGGGTTTGCATAAAATGGATTGCCTGGTCACAGTTGGATAGATTTGTTGGGAAAGTTGCAAGGGGATTTTTCCCAAGGTTTGGTAAGGAACTTGACCTAGATTAAAATGGAAGAATCAACTGTCTTCAAGTAGTTGGGCGGGGGAGTCATCATGGAAGAAGGATTAGGCTCCTTCTTCTTGGCCCCAGAGGGCAGAATTTAGGAGCAAAGTGTGGAACTTGCAGAGAGGGAAGCCCCAGTTTGGTGTAAAAAGAAACAACTTCCTAATGGTGAGAGTTGTCCAAAAACGGGAAATGGGCTGCCTGAGGAGGTGTCTCTCAGCAGAGGAGGCCTCATGTCCCATGTCAGGGAGGCTGCAGAGAGGGTTCTTGTCCAGGTCAGGCTGAACCACATGGCCGCTCTAAGATTACAAGATTACGTGCCATAGAATAAATTGTCAAGTACAAAGTTCTGCCTTCAGACCTCCTTGAGGGCCACATCTTTCTCAGGGTTTCGTGAATGGGAGAGAAGGAAGGAAGGGAGGGAATACATATTACTATAGCCCCTACTATATGCCAGACGCTGTACTGAATGCTCTTTACAATTATTACCTCATTTGATCCTGAACAACCCTGGGAGGTGGTCCACTTTACAATCAAGGAAACTGAGGCAGAGAGAGGGTAAGCTTAAGGTCACTCCATCCACTGTACTACTAGCTGCCTGTCACTGGAGATGTGATTACTTAACTATATAGAAGGAAGCATGGACAGGGCAGGAAAGTCTTTAAATGTGGAGGGAGATTATAGACCAGATTTCTTGTTCCGGTGTGTTACTGTTAAATTTGCTCTGCAACCTTGGCCGTTGGCTTCTGTTTCCCACCTGACCCTATCTCCCATGAAATCTGCCTCAGAACTGTGTGGGGAAGGAGAATGAAATAAGGGTCCGTAAATGTTGATATGGGTCACTCTCAATAGAAAGAGCCATTCCTGTTAGAGTTCCCTGCATTTTCTCTTTCCTGTAAAGCTCCAGAAGATGCCCCTGATGGCAGAGTCTTTGAGACACATCTGTAGGGCAGCAGTTTTGAAGAGGAGGCTGAGCACGAGACTCTTTGAAACCCTTGGCGCCGCGTCCTGAAATCGGCAGCAGGAGAGGCCGTGGCTGGGAGCATGGATGACGACGTCCCGCTCATCTTGACCCTGGACGACAGCGGGAGTGCCCCGCTGGCACCGTCTGACCGCCTGGGTCCAGAGGATTTGCCCAATGAAAGTAAGATGGTGGAGACCGGGGGAGAGCCTGCGCTGTCTGTTGGGGGGCCGGGGATTATGGTGGTCGGCGGGGGATCTTACGGTGCCCCCTCTCTCTGGGGGAGACACCCATCCCCTGACTGGCTAACATGATGACGTCGTAGGTTCTGACTCAGAAACTGCAGGTCAGGTGGCAGTGAGGCTGGGCCTCTGCTGGGTGGGCTAGTGGAAAAGAGGCCAGAATTTGGAGAAAGAGCATCTGGGTTCCAGTGACCTTGAGCAAATACTGTTTATATTGCCCACCAAGTGAGTTGTGTGAGAAAAGTGCTTTGGAAACCCAATTTTAACTTGCCTTTCTTGAATCTCAGCTTTTCCCTTCTGGGACTTTCATTTACCTGAAGTGCAGGTAGTATCACCTAGGAACTCAGTCTCCCCTGTTTGTTGGTCCTGTTAAACCTAGGAAGTGATCCTAGTTAGTCTTCCCCAGCCTAGAGCTCTTTGCAAATAAGTGGGGAGCCTGACTAGTCTTTCCCTAACCTCTGCATTACTCAAGAGGGAATGGGAATGCAGGGGAAATGTTTCACATTTTGTTTGTCCTTAAAGTGGGCTATTGATTTGAGGTTCGGTTTCTTAGGAGGATTCTTTTTTTTTTTTGGTTTTGGTTTCGATATGACTCAAAGGCTAGCTCAAAGTGGCTACAAAGAGATGGTGTGCTTTAATTTTTAAAATTTAAAGTGTGTTTCTGGCAGAATGTGACTGTTTAAAAACCTTCCTGGTCCTTGTCCTCAGGTCATCTCTCCACAGGGACGGGCCTCTGGCTGAAGAGAGGTTTAAAATAGCTGACGTTTCCTGTCTGGGCCTCTGTTCTACCAGACTATCTGGAATTACCTTAGCAACTGAATTTTCTAGTCCTTCTCTTGCTGTTCAGGGGTTTACTTGGGTGCCTTTTATTGGGACAGAGGATTATTGTTTTTTGTTTTTCCGCATTAAGTAAGGAAAGCTCTAAGAGAGGAAGAAAGAGTCCAGCCCAGCATCACATGTTTTCTTGTCTAAACAAAATACAATGGGGCTTGGAGGGAGGGTTTCCCTCTTAGGCAAGTCTCTAATCAAGGTTATATCAGAGAATAGTGTCTCTCAGAAATGAGAATATTGCCTGGGGCTCGGTATTCTGGTCCATTCCTGCCTTTTCCCTTCTTAGAAATGGCCTAGCTGCTTGATCCAGTTGCTGTTGTTCCATCCCGGAAGATTAGATAGTGAACTGTCATTTGCCCACCTCACCATGACAGGTCTTTCCCTCACCCCCTGGCATTACTTAAGGTGTGGGAGTATGGGAGAAATGGCCATTGGCCGTGGCCATTTGAGTCAGCAGCTGGTGACATCAGTGGTTAGATGGCAGAGATTAAGTTACCTTCAAAACTAACATCATATGGTGCTTTGTATTACTTTTGGGGTTCTTCTCTTATTGGGAAGGTAGCATGCAACTCTTTAGTGCCTAAATGAATGTGGGCTGTAACCTGTCACTGGGAAACTAAAGGTGATTTGTTGAAGAGTTACAATTGTAACATATTTATATATGACAAAATATTTTTGCCCATATAATCTCATGTGAGCTTCATACAAATACCCTATGAGGGAAATTGGAACGATATTATCCTCATTTTACAGCGAAGAAAATGAGACTCAAGTTTACATAACCTGCAAAGGTATCATGCAAAGCTGAAAAATATGTATTTCTCATTCAGTAATCACCAGAAGGCTGTTATATATAACTTCTCTAAAATTTTACTCGTGCTTTTTTCTAGCTTTTTTGTTTTTGGTTAGATTTGTCTAGGTCTGAAAAGGGCATGTTGAAGTCCCCCCTCCAAAAAAAAAATTATCGTTTCACTGTGTGTCCCTTTAGTTCTATTAGCTTTTCATTAAGTGTTTAGATGCTGTGCCACTCAATCCATACATATTTGATGTAGAAATTGTTTTATTCTCTGTTGTACATTTAAACTTAGCATAGTTTCTCTGCTCATCAGGTTAAGTGACTTGACCAAAGTCTCCTATCTAGTTAAGTTGTAGAACTTGGGCTCAGCTTTTTGACTCTGAAGTCCGGTACTGCTATCCTACCTTGCCTCCTTCGTCCCTCTTGTTTTCCTGCCTTTAACCTGGATCACTTAATGCTTTCTACCCTGACATAGCAGATTGCATCCACCAACTTTCAGGGTATTTTGGAATTGTATGGAAAGATCAGTAGTGACTCTCAATGGAACACTAGCCCCTAGGGCTCTGGTCTGTGATGGTCATCATCAGTTCTTGCCTTGAGATGGTCAGACTCCCCAGTTCTCTTTAAGCAGCTATGTATCCAGGAGGCTTCCAATGTCAGCACCATCCTGGGTGCCTAGGGCATCAGAGTTGGCAGGATGTCAGCTCTGAGAGCAGCGTCTACTAGGGAGATGAGGGGGTATCAAATTTGGAGACTTCAAAGCAGGCCGTAGCTGCCATACTCCTGCTGTGTGTCTATGCTGCTATGTACACAGAGGTGTGACTGTCCTATGTGTGACCTGTCAACCAAGGTAAGCAGACAACCAGGTAATTCTCAGAAACTCACCCTGGTCCCCTGCCTCCAGAGGGAAATGCAGGATCCGCTGCCTAGTGTTGTCTAATGCAGAGATTCTGATCCTTTTTATATGTCACCGTGCATGGTCCCCTTTGGAAGCCTGCTGAAGCCTATGGGACCCCTTTTCAGATTAGCATTTTGAAATAATTGAAGGAAAAACTAAATTTCAATTAGAGGCTAATGAAAATAAAGATGTACATTTTTTTTCTTGTCTAATTTCACCGATTCCCTGAAATCAGTACACGGACTCATAGGCAGATTGTCTATGGACCTCAAGTTAGGAATCCTTGGTGTAATAGGAAAACGAACAGGGCAGGAGTTCTTCCAAGACCCTAATATCCCCCAGCTATGAGACTGATTGTGGAAAATGCGAATGAGTTACTCACAGACAGCCAGACAGTGGTGGGTTGATAGAGGATGCAGGACTACGCAGAGGTATTTATAAAGTGCAGGAAACTGGGCTAACTTTGAAGACAGGCAGTGGTGCCAGCACTGGACAGGTCGTCTATTCAGTCATGGGTTGTAGGTGGGCAAAGGCTCCACGTAATACCCAGAATCCTTGTCACACAGTGGCCAGGCCTTGGAGGCATTTGGACATAGCCAGTGGTTTCCAGTCTGTCCTTATACAGGCCACTTCTCTTTTTTTGGATTTCACTCTTGGGAAGACGGAAGGGAGTATGAGAACTCACATTTCTGTGATGCCCTGTAAGGTAGGAAAGCACTTTGCTCACAGCAGTCCATAAGGACGCAGCCCGGGTAGGATTATCCCCATTTTACAGGTAAAGGAACTGAGACTTCCCTTACTCACAGACACCAAGCTTATAAATGGCAAACCACTGATCTTTCCCTGATACCAGATCTCATCAGCGTTGTGGTTTTCAAGGACCATGTATTGAGTGACTAATTATGTGTGACACTCTGCTCTCAAGAGAATGGAGGTGTTTACTAAGATGCCCACCTCGATGGGGCTAGGAAAGAGCCTGAAGCCAGTATAGGAATGGATGGGGAAGTGTTTCTATGACACATATGTGTAGGATGCGTTTGGGGGCCGGAGGTAAACACACAAGAGCCTCCTTAGAGGTGTTAGAGATGAAAGTTAATTTGGGCTTAGAAGTCAGGTCCCAGGCAGCATTGTTGTTTCATTTTCAGATTGTTGGGTTGGGGTGGTTTTGTCCCTCTTCTTCCAGTGGGAACGCCCAAGTAAGTGGTGGCTTCCTGGCCACGTCCCGGTACACCAGTGAAGTCCCCAGCATCTTCTTGCCAGGTGGTGCTTCTCCTGGGTCCTGAGTGCACGGCTTCCACTGTGAAATTTGGCATTGTCCACAAGGTCCTCGAGGTGTCTGGGAATCTTGGCCAACCTTGGACAGAGACCACGGGCCACTTGGGGGCTTCAGGCTCCCACCTCCACCAGCCTGCCCGATCCTAGGCTGCCATACTTGGGAAGGGACCAGGAAATGGGCCTCCACTACAGCCTGCTAAATCACAGAGGTGGATCAGAGCTGGAATGAGGCTGCAAGGACCCCTGAGGCTGTTTTCCCATCTGGTCAGGGAATAGGACATGACACTGGGGGTCTAGCGCCTTTAGGCAGAGACGACCATCCACCCTTCCTTGATTAATAACTTCTATATTGTTTGAAGGCTTTAGGAAATGCTTTCCTCCCAACACCGCTGTTGGCTAGGTTAGTGTGAGCATTATTCCCTTTTTACCGATGAGAAAACTGTGGCCCAGATATGTGAAGTCCGTCCATTTTCAGGCTCACATAACTATTAAGTGTCAGAACTGGGATTGAGATCTAGGCTGAATAGCCACAGGAGCTGTTTCCAGTAGCAGGCAGGCCCCTCCACCCCCCAGACATACAGCGCTCAGAACAGTCAGGGGAGAAGGGCAGGAACGCCTATAGCTGTGACTCTCCCCTCCAGGGTGTGCCTCGTGTGCCTGCTGGCCCCCTTGGTGCAATAGCTGGGCTTGAGATAGCAGCCCCAGAGCCCGTGGGGCCCAGGCTTGAGACGCAGGTCGTGTGTTGCTTTTCTTTGGCCCCAGCTGGTGGCTGCAGCCGAGTCAGGAAGGAGAGGCAGCTCTAGCAGCTGGAGACCCAGCCCCAATCAGATTTCTGCTGCCTCCTGGGGTGCGTGGCCAGTGGGCTCCATCGTTGTCGCTGCTCCCGTGGCTTTTTAGGGCCTTGCCTGGGTGCAGTGCACGGTGTCATCAGGCTTGCTGCGGCACCGATTAAAATGAGTGAGCGCCAGGCATGCTGGGCCCGAGCCTCATAAGCGAGCCTCGGAGCCTCTCGAGTTCCCTGGCCCTCGGTGTCTCATGGTGGGAGCCTGTCTGTTGTCATGGGCCCCCCTGCCTCGAAATGCTATTTCCCCCTTCCGAAGGCGGGCAGCAGCCCTATCTCAATCATGGCGGCGGCAGCTGT